AAAAAGGTGTAAGAAGTGGCAGTTACCTCCAGCCAAGCGTGGGAAATTGCGGTAGCGATCCAGGTTTTCGGATACCTGCTTCCAGAGCCGCTTAAAAGTTCTGGAAGAGCAAGGAGGAGCTGGTTAGCGCACTCTTGCCTTTGCAAAGGGGTGGCACTTGGAAAAGGCGCATGTGGGTGCTGTGCCCTGCTGAAGGAGACCCCGGCAAACCCCCGTGTCCATCCCCAAAAGAAGGGATGCCCTGCAAGCAGGAGAGGAGATGCTAGCTGAGAATGAGTCCCTAGGTATCAAAGCAAGGGCACTACACAACGACCTGTTTAAGAATAGGAAACTGTTGCAGCGTCACAGGGAAGACACAGGAGCGAGCGCCCAGCAGAAGTTTCTGTTCTTCCCCTTTTCCCCCTTCTTTTCGGTCCTTACTGTGACAAACCCCTTGGCTGCAAAACAATAAAAATGCTAATAACCTCCCACCAGGAGGCACGGCCACTAATACTAATTTATGAGCTTCCCACCTTTAAAGCACAACGCTCATCAGGCCATGTCCTTTGCCGGTGGAGGGGGGTCCCCGCCTTTAATAGCCCGACGTGGGCTGCCGGGGCCCTCAGCGTCGCTAACACACCCCGACGCGTGGGCAGAGCAGGAGTTTGCAAATCTACCTGGAGCTGGCATCGCTCCGCCAGCGCCATGCGGTTCATTAAGCCAAATCACAGCATCCCTGTGATTTGGGAGACATCCCTGGGAGACAGGGCAGTGTTACATGCAACTTCACCTATTCTCTGTGCCTTGAATTTAGCAACAGAAACACCCTGCTATTAAATGCACTCCCTGTAGCAAGAAAACCTGGTTAGGCACTTTTTTAATCAGTTTTAAAATCCTACTTTAATCACATTGTGTAAGGATGGCCGGTTGTCAGCCTGCTACCCTACTCAACGCTGTCCTGCATGTCCAAGGGACCGCAGAGGAGCACCCAGCATCCTCTCAGCCAGCGGCTCCTCGCCCCTCTCCCCCCTGCCGCTCCCCTCCCCTGCGTACGGCACGCTGCCGGTGAAATTGAGCCCGCAGAAGTGCTCGGAGCTCGTCACGGTGTCTCCAAACACGGGCCCGTCCGCCGGCACGAACTGCACGACGTTCGGAGGGAGCCCGGCTTCGAGGAGGATCTTGTAGACGGCGTAGCTGGAGAGCAGGGCAGTGTCGCTGGGCTTCCACAGGACGACGTTTCCCTGGGGGAGAGGAGAAAGTCGGCAGACGAGGAAAGGCTTCAGCCCGAACTGGGGGAGG